TATATATATATATATATATATATACTTTTTTTGTGTTATATGACAACATCTTATATCTGACATATTTTACAGCTATGAGATGCCTGTTCAGAATGATACCCACGTGATTTTGCCAGTGTATCTTTGGGAATCATCCGCGAAAATAGGGTTTTCCCGAGAACAATTATTTGGTGATCCTCTGTTGATAGCAGCCCCAAGGAAAAACTGCACTTACGACGTATTATATCAGTTGGTGCTTCACAAATTGCAAAGGAACATTTGCATACCAGATGACAATAGTTCCTGGTGGAATACAAAAACCAAAAACTATTCAAATGGTGGTAAGTATTATTTACATATAATTTGGTTTGCAACTTTAATTAAATTTCCATTGACTACATCAAAAATATTCATTATGCTATCAATGACAAGTTTTGAATGGATCTGTTTAAATCAAAATATTGACATGCTAGAAGAATAGAAGAGAGACATTGTATTAACACACAAAGTTTTTCTACTTTTTTTTCTTTACATCAGATTTGACCCTAAATGAAGATTCCCCAGGAGATGAAAATGATGAAAGTTGCAGTGATAATGGCGACTGCAATGGCGAACGTGTTCCAAGACGCATATTCAGCTTTTATTTGGTGACCAGTGGTGCAGATTGTAGCCAAGATATTGTGAAGATCCATAATGATGGAAACCCACTTTCCTTCCCAAGTAAGTTACCATGTGGTTTAACTAAATAACTGTCCTACTCCATGAAATAGAATCATTCTCGAGAAATAACAGCCTTTTCCTGACTTTCAAGAAACCCAGAGGATCATTACCACATTTCTAAGAGCCTCCCATTCATCATTGTACTCAGCCTGATGAACCCAAGCCACATCCGTATTTCGTCATGATCTATTTTAATATACAGTGAAACCTCTATCCATCGTTCCCGGAACTATCGTTTTCCCGGATGCATCGTCCGTTTTGTTCGGTCCCGAATACATCCCATATAAAATAATGTTACATTTTCCCGCTTCTATCGTTCCTCGAACTATCGTTTTATCGCATCGATCGTTCAAAAATCGTAGTTGGAGTGAATGGCGGGGCCCATTGTCAGAAATTTTACGCTTTTAATTTGGGTGCACTCATATTTCGTTCCAGCGATGCCAGATGGCATGTGCAGTGTGAATTTCTTTACAAATGCTTTTATTATAAGTACAAAGGAAAGGCGAGCGAAACTTTTTCATTCTTCTGGTTCATATCGTGTCTTCTACAGCTACGTTTCGTTGAGTTTGGCAGTAATAGTATTTCCATTCTTCCTGTTATTGTCCGCGAAGAGGGTGGGAGCGGTAAGGAAGAGGAAGACGACGAATGCGAGCCCGAAGCTTTGCCGAGTTTTGCCGAAGCATTGGCGAAAGTGAAGTCGTTCTTTTATGCGCTTAATATTAGTGAACGTGACGAAGAAAACATTTTGAACGTGGAAAGTGCTCTGTTTGGTCTAAAACGTAAAGTTTCGACAAACCAGTTGTCCATTAAAGACTTTTTTGGTAAAAAGAAGTAACTTTGAAAGAGAAACATTGTTTTTTTTAAATTTTTAATGCTTTCCCGCATCTATCGTTTTCCCGCATTCATCGTTTTTATTTCCCACCCCCGCCGAAAACGATGCATCGAGGTTTCAATGTAATCCTCTCATTTACATGTAGATTTCCTATGTGGCCTCTCACCTTCATCTTTCTAGTTTTCATTGTTCATTGTATAGTGAGGAAAGATCACCAGTATTTAAATCATTTATGTGTTTCTGACACAGCAGTAGTTATTACATGTTTAGAAATGAGGACTTTCTGAAATAATATTTCTGTGATAGGAATTTCAGTTTCATTATGTTGTCCAAACTACTTGAAGTACCAGTGTTGAACTTCTTTTTTAATGTAGAAAATTAGTAATTATTTGTGAAATTCTTGAGCTTTAGAACATATTGGACAGTCATTCGTCGCTGCAAAATGGACGCGAGAAGCCCGTGATCAGTTTTTCTTTGACAAATCATTGGAAGATACAGAGGATGACCAGTCAACAAGGAAGAATCTTCAGGCA